ACAAATCACACAACACACAATACAAATTACAATCGACTGAATCGAGAGTTGAATTGGACCAATCAAAAAAGGAAAGTCTTCAATTGGAAGTTACCTGTAATCTGGAGAGGGACTGAGGGAGACTCTGTTCACCAGACTGCAGATGGTGAGCACTTAGCTGATGCCTAATGCGAAGCTAAACAACTCCCAAACAAAGCCAAAAAAACAAAATAAAATTAGCATGCATGCATCGAATGATAGAGACAGCTCATGAATCTGGAAAAATAATGGGTTAAGTTTGTGCTTACCTCGACTGTGCTCTGAGCAGAGTGCAGGTAATGGGTTTAAGGAAGAAGTTAGGCTGACCAGTGACCTGAAATTAATCGAGGGGTTAATTTATATACGAGAAGAAGGAAGAAGGCAAGAAAGTGCAGCAGAATACGAAAGGAAAAGGGAGAAGGAACTTATCTCGCTCGATGTGCGATATCACGTCGATTTCCCCCAATAGCTGCAAATCGAAGATTGCAGCGGGCAATTTAGGGCTCTGCATGCTGTTTCCCGACGAAATCGCCGGCAAAACTAGCATCCAATTGGCCAAATTGAGAGATAATGATTGCCTACTGGCAATCATAATTGTATAAACAAGCTGGATTGGGAGGAAATCGTGGGGAACAGCGAGATTTTTGAGCGGATTAGATGTTTGGGAGATTCAATGGAGAGAAAGAAGCTAGGGTTTCGGGAGGTTCTCGAAGAGGAAGATGAGAGGAATGGGAGCAGTCGTTTGGGACGGCGGAGAGTGGAAAATGAGAGATTAGGGTTGGCAGGGCTCGTTTTTTGGTTTATATACGATGTCTAAACGACGTCGGTTTATGATTCGGGGCGGGGACGGGGCGGATACCACTAATACCGTCCCCACCCATCGCCCGCGACCCACGGGTTTCGGGTAAATCCGAATCCGCCAAAAGCCCACAACGGACGGATTTTTAGGTTATAATTCGGGCGGGTTTCGGGTGGATACCCGCTGGGTCGGTCAGGGTTGCCAAGCCTACCAAATATACACTACTCTTTGATGGACTCAAGTGTAACAAAAGAAAAGGAAACTATGGTGAGAATGAGTAATGAAAAGTTCACTTATTAGTACTCAGATACCGAATTGTGTTGCTAGATGATATATCAACTTTCATGACGAGTTGGATCAGGTGATAAAAAAAAATATTGTCTCAATACATTATCCAATTGAGTGAGCACTAACAATTTACTTTATAACTTATTAGACTATTCTAGATGATATTTTTCCTTCAGTTCCGTTCAACATCTCTCATTGCATAAAATACATGAATATTTCATGTATATGACAATAGAAAGATGTCGTATTATCGAGTAGAATATATAAACATATATTACCTCGCCCTAACCTCCCTTCTTAATTAGCTGAAACAATAGTCACAAACTTCTCAACGACTACATGCCTCCATACACTCAAACTACACCATCTTGTGTCCTAACTCAACTCATACCAATTGTAGACATATGTTCTAGTACTATAGATAGGTCAAACACAAATGAAACCTGTTCAAGTTGTGATGAGAATAGGCTTCCTATTTGATCGCCTACCTTGAATATATGATATTCCAAAGTTCCCCAAATCAAACTTCTCCACACGAGCCCTCTCATATATATATTATTCTTGGTGGCTTCTACTGTACTTTGGGTAAATCTAGAGTATAGCATACCCTTAGTACGTAAAAAAATATCTAGACCTTGCATTAGTTGAATTTTGAGACAATATATTATACACCAGCCCTAAATGAGTAAACCTTATGTCCTAGTTATCTAAATTATAAACCCCAAACCATGTAATCCGTATAATCATAATCATCATTTATTGTTTCCATTTGAAATTATATTAGTGTGTAATATTTGGAGAATTCGTACATAGATTTTAGTCTGTAACTCTGTAAGGATTTAAGTATAGTATCATGTCCTAAAATCCGATCAATTCAAACTCTAAATACATTTTTGTACTCAACATATGCAATACCTCATATTTACCTATGTAAAATATAACTCGATATATATTCTAATCTGCCAAATTAAAAACAAAATTTCACTAGTCCAATTTGGAAATGATGGGATATGTAGATCATCAAACCAAGAATTTCGACAGTGGTTTACCCACCATAGCTCCCCTTATGAGAGTCAGAGTCACCCCAATAACATCATCATAGTCTTCCCTCCTCCAAGTCAGAATCTCCCAAGGCATGATTCCTGATGAAAAGCCACACACGGCAGAACAGAATCTTCCTTAACCTTTGCCCTCCTCTCCTCCCTTTCATATATAACTTGTTCCTCCACCTTATCTCTCTATCTATCTCCAAATAAAATTAAACCCCTCATTGGCCCCAAAACCACCCACTTAAAAACTCTAAATTCCTCCATTGATTCATTCATTAACCTTTCCCTTTCCTTCAGAAAAGGTGGGGACTTTTTTTTTTTTTTTTTTGTGCTCGGCTCATCTCCTCCTCCATCTTCTTCAGCCGCCGAAAAGGAAAGAGAAGACAGAAAGCCATGATTCGATTTTTCAGTTATTCCCGTTTCACTTCCTTCTTCCTCCTCTGTTCTTCCTTACTCTGCCTTTCCCGCCTTCCCCTGCTTCCCGCCAGAATCATACCCGACGCCGTAACCGTTATACCCGAAACCCAAAACGCCACGTGGCACAACTTCGTTCGCCTGATCGACGCCGGTAGAGGAAGCCAGCTCAGCGGCGTGGCCGACCTCAAGCGCTACTTCCACCGCTTCGGCTACCTCGAGGGTACCAATTTCTCGAGTTTTGGGAATTCGGGTAGTAATTTGAATTTCTCCGATTTGTTCGACGGCCAATTGGAATCCGCCGTCTTATCCTACCAGCGGAATCTGGGATTGACGGTCACCGGGAAGCTTGATTCGGCCACGGTATCAGCAATCATGTCGCCGCGCTGCGGCGTCGCCGACTCGTCTTCCCCTCCTTCGCCGTCGAAGCTGCACGCGACGAAGCGGTTCGCGTACTTCTACGGCCGGCCGCGGTGGCAGAGGGGGAGCGACGGCGACGGAGACGGGGAGACGATGACGCTGACGTACGCTTTCTCGCCGGACCACAGGGTGGGGTACTTGAGCGCGAAGGACGTCCGGCGGGTTTTCCGGCGGGCGTTCGACCGGTGGTCGGCGGCGATTCCGGTGAGCTTCCGGGAGTCGGAGGAGTACGGGTCGTCGGACATCAAGATCGGGTGGTACCGCGGCGACCACGGCGACGGGGAGGCGTTCGACGGCGTGCTTGGGGTGCTGGCGCACGCCTTCTCTCCGGAGAACGGGCGGCTCCACCTCGACGCGGCGGAGACTTGGGCGGCGGCGGACGATTTCGACGGGGTGACGTCACGGGTCGCGGTGGACTTGGAATCGGTGGCGACCCACGAGATCGGTCACGTGCTGGGCCTGGCCCACAGCTCGGTCAAGGAAGCGGTTATGTATCCGAGCCTGAGCCCGCGGATGAAGAAAGTGGAGCTCAAAGTCGATGACGTGGAAGGGATCCAGGCGCTTTATGGTTCGAATCCGAATTTCAAGTTCAATTCTTTGCTGGCGTCGGAGAATTCTTCGAATTCAAACGGTGTTGGGATGACGGGGATTCGACGATCGTCGGCGGCGTGGAATCATTTCGCCCTGCTGGTCTGCCTCTCGGGCATGCTCCTTTCGTGTATATAAAACAGTTAAAAAAAGATTAATTCTTGTTTCGAGTTAGATTAGTAGACACAAATCACAAAGAGTTACGGTTAAATGGAAACCTTTTTTTTTTATATTGTTGTGGATCAAATGATGCATAATTAGACCAGGTTTTGATTCTCAAATGTGGAAAAAAATATATGTTTCGATTCAATTTGATCTTTCTCGAAAAGAATACATAAATGAATTGAAATCGTGAGCATAAGCTAATTAAAATGGAAGTGAGAGTTAACGCGATCAAGAACTCCAATTTATGATGTATATATAACCGCTAAAATTGCTCAAATATTTTCAGTAAGGAAGTATTTTCAATTAAAACCTTATTACGTCATGCAAGGAACCCAATTATCCAAGTTGACCAATTAAATATTTTTTCTATCGATAATCAATTTCCAAATATTGTTTTATATTTTTCTTGATGTTTAAACACCCCGGGCGATAATTGTTATTAGGGCAAGAATTGGACGGGACTGAATGGTTGATTTCAGAGACGCCAGCAACAAGAAACAGGTGTTTTAATTGTTTAACTTTTCTTGTTAGTTTGGTCATCCAAACCCTAATTAGAATACTAATTACGTGCGCCATGGTCCACGTGTAGTTTCCACAGTGCCATTTTCCCTCTTTGTTTCCTTTATTCACTCATCCAAGTTACATATGTACGAGCGTGGGAAGAAAAAGGGTGGCAGAATATTGCCAAAACTCGTTGCCGGAAAGGAATATATAGTTTGTTTATGCAATAGGGCAAAATACTTTCGTTGTTGAGTTGAGGATACAAGAGAAAGAACACCAGCTAAACCAACTGCTGCCTGGAAGCAATATACAAGCCAGAAGGGCACAAGAAGAAAATTGCTGTTGCCGATGGAGTGGGCAAAAAGCTTTTGTCTTCATGTTTGGATTAGAAACATACTTGGTCAACAAAGAAGGAACCTTTCCCTGTAGAGGAAATTACTACATGTATTTTTAAATCTGCAACGAAACCAAAATTCGCAATCTATGTAATCTAAATTCTAAGTATACGCTACTTCGAGTCTAGATATATCGACTTTAGTTTTTTTTTTTTTTTAAAGAAGCATGTATAGAGAATGCCGATTCACATCGCCAGAGTTAAGTGTTATCATTTTGTTAGGAATTAAATTTAAGTGACTCGTTATGTTACTGACCCAAAGTTGAGTGCTTATTTGTACAATTTGACTTAAATCTTCAAGCCTGTCCGTTTAGCCAGACAAAGCTCAGCCCACTACAGAAAAAGGTCCAAAAGCCTAAACCAAATATCACAACTCACAGCCCATAACCATTTTTCTCTCCCCTTTCAGTCGTCTCGGGAAAGATCGGGCAGTCGGCGAATTCTAACAGAGGAATTTTTCCCGGCGCCTAATCCTAAAACCCTAAACCCTCTCAGACAAATCGAGACGCCCAATTCCAAAACTTTCGAAAAACTCCATTCCTCTTCTTCCACTGAAACATCAATGGCTTCCTTCGGCACCAAATTCGTCTCCAGATCATCCCTATCCTCCATAAAATCTGCCCTCAGATCCGCCGCTGCAAAATCCAGATCAACCAGCTCTACCCCATCCTTCGCCAGCACTTCTTCTTCTGCTACTCCTATCCGCCGCTTCTCCATCTCCAGGTACGGAGCTCGAGGTTTGGCTTCTTAGTGAGTGTTGGAATTTCACTCCCAATTTCAGTTTTTTTTATTGCTGCTTATGTTTTTTCCCCCGCCGGTGGGCTTGATTTCCAGGATTCCCTCGGAGTTGGGATGCGCGGCGTCTTTGCTGCCCCTGCATAGCGCGGTGGCGACGGCGAGGATGACTTCATGCTTGAGCACGACTTCGAGGAGTGGCCGTGCTCTCTCTCAGGGTACACTCTGCTGCACCTATCCCGGCCTCTAGTAGCTACATTGCTAAGAAAAAGCTTTTATTACTGCTACTACTACTCTCTCTTGACTGTGAGTAGCGTTTTTTTAGCTTCTCTTCAAACCCCTAAATTTGTTATATGTAGCTTTTCTTGATTGTCATATATATCATTGAAATGGAAGGAATGATAATTGGCTCTTGTTGATTACATGGATGTTTCACTTTATACTTGTCGGGACTTTGTGCGTAAATTGATTCTTGTTGTGGTCCTTAAAGTTAGAAACTTTAGGCACGAAATTGAGGTTCTGTTTAGAGACTATGATGATGAAATGATGATTAGGTTAGAGAACACGGGGGAGCTAGAATTTGAGTTAGGGTGTCTTATTGGGGGTCAATCTAATCTGGAGATCTCAAGTGGCCATAGGGTGTTTGCACAGTCTGACTAAGGGTATTTGGTTCCTGCAGGCACATAATATCAAAAGAAATAAACTGGGGATCTGTCAATTATGGCCCACTGCATCCTTATCCAGTATGACACAAATTAGTATTTCGTTAGTAATCTCCAACTTGTTAGTTCGATCATTTTGACATCCATGGTCACCTGGTTGGAGTTTATATTGAGAAGTTTGCATAGCTTCACTTGGTTGCCTATGTGTGAATTCTCACAATGAGATGAAAGGCTTGTTCTTTTACCCCATAAGTCTAGATTCTCATGTGGTCATGATCTAGTGTATGAATTTCAATAGATACTAGGTGTTCTGGTAACAAACTGCTGCATATTTAATTTTCATTGGGCATAGTACCAAACCTCTAAGTTGACTCCTGATCAAAGTTCTACTTAATTTTCCTGGTAGAAGATGTCAAATAAGAGGCTAGATTATATCGATATTATTCGATGCCAGCTTTTCAATGCGAAAACTGGACAAGGCAGGCTAGGGCTACGATATAAGTGCAAAGCACATTGTACATTTGCAGAGTCTTGGTCATGCTAGCTCAATTCACAGTAGGATTCTTGTTAGCATCGAAATACAGCCAATGTAGTGTCAGCTTCTGCTGGAACTACTTCATATTTTACTGTCTCGACCTTCCATTTTATATAGATTTTTTGCTGAAGGATTAGTTGTGAAGTTTGAGTCTGGTGTCTGCCAAATTCTGTTCTGCATACCCCTACAGGACTAAGTAGAATTAATGTGTTAGAAGCTAAGGACGCTTTGGCGATAGTATAACTAACAAATTAGGGTAACAGCTAAAGTGCAAGAATTTTGACAAGATTTTGATCATAGATATTAAGTATGTTTCTCATGAAGTGAGAGTAATATGGTAACGTAACTGCTCCTTTTACCAGATGATGTTGATGGGACGTGAAAGAAGTATCCTGTTTTGGAGGTGGGCTCTTTGACCAACTATGCAGTTTGTGATTGAAAACAAAGTGGAAAACAGTATTGTTTAGGATCATATTGGTTAGACTTAGACTAATGTCGAATATCAGACCAACTATGCAGTTTGTGATTATTGGTGAATATGGCCTGGAATACGTATACAACTATTTAAGCTGTCCCAATGTTCAGTTGCTAATTGAAGTATTGTTTTTTCTTTGTTGACTTCTATAGAGCTCGGGCTGTCAGTTCCAAGGTGATTTAAGAGGAGAAATTCATGATAGGTCATTTTGCCTTGTTATCAGAAGCAAGGGACGATTTGTTGCTTTTCATGTCTATGAAGAGTGGAGTGCGTATATGTAAGATGCTGACTGCTTGATACCTTGAGAAGCAGTTGAGAATTTTTATTTGATCCTTCGGCGACACAAATCTTGATTGATTTACTTCTTGACACTGCAATTTTAACTATAGGGTTAGTGTCGATGCAAGTTAATTCTTCTTGTTTGATCTTTCATAGTTGCCCCTCGTATTAGGATTACCTTGTACCCAGAAAATAAAAAATACAGAGTTATCACGGCCACTCCTGCCATATCTTTGCACAACAAGAACTACGAGTTATATAGTTTCATGCGCTTTTCGGGGTATGGTGAAGAATGCAATGAAAGTGATTTATTTCCCACTTTTGAGGGAGTGAGCGCCAGTGCGGTTCGAATCGTGTTTGCATTGAACTGATCTTCATTATAAAAGCTTGTGGTTTGCCATCGGTTTGAATTGAAACTGCACAATCGCAATTGTTGTTGGTTGAATGTCTGGATCAGAAAGTGCAGAAAACTGATTCCACGTACCGTGACCAATTTTGTTGATGTTCGAGTTAGATCAATAAGTATTCATTGTGACATCTACGTCGATAGCACTTTCATTGCGAGGATTTTGGTGTAGATCAGCCATAGGAGATCGTGATTGAGGAAGAGAACAGAATCAACGGAAGCTGTTGGAGAAATCGATCGAGAGCCTTGAAAGCTCTGATATATGTTTGAAGACTCGATAGAAGGGAGAATGAAGAAAACATAACTGAGATAATGTAGTTCTTACAGTAGGGAGCTCTAAGCTTTTATACAGGAGAGACGTGGGGGAGTTGTTAGGCTTTATTACCTGTATTGACAAGCTAGTACTATTCATGTGTTTCTACCAAAAGTATGATCATGATCAGGCGAGGATCATCATCTATGACAATGTCCTCAGTTAAGTTTCCAAGTTTCAAGCCTACTTTCAGTGTTTTATTAGTGGATCAGTGAAATGTTCATTTTTAGCTTTTTTCTACGCACGGAATGCTCAACTGATAAATAATTCACCTATTATTGATGCTCATGGAGGTGTTGTTTCCATTTCAATCCAACTACAACCAACTTCTTTTATCACCCTTTTCTTGCTCATGAGCTTCCTCACCTTCTTCACTTCTCCCCATTTGCCATACGAGGCAAGTATGTTAGAAAACATTACATAAACATAGTCATCATCACCTTCCAACTTGATCGCCTTTGCCGCTGCAATTTTAGCAACCTCCAAATTCCCAGAAGGTCCAAAGCCACCGAGGAACGCCCTCCAAATCACTCCGCTCAATTCAAAATCAAAGTTGTATATCATCCTCAAAGCCCCTCGGATCTCCCCTCTCTGTCCCATGAGTCGGATCATCGAACAACCGTGCTCCACAGCTGGTGCGATTCCATAATCGTTGATCATGGATTCGAAATATCGAGTTGCAGTCTCCAATGGCACGTTGACATTCGAGCATGAAGCTAGAACGTTTAGAAATGTGATCCAATCAGGCTCCAAACCCTTCACATCCTTCATTTCCTCAAATAGTTGGATTGCCTTCTCAAAACCCCCGCTCTGAGCGTACCCTGCCATCATTGCATTCCATGTAACCAAATTCTTTCGAGGCAGCAACCGAAATGCCAATTCAGCAGTGCTCACTTCTCCACATTTGGAGTACATATCGACAATAGAACTCCCCACCACAACAGTTGCTGCTAAGCCACATTTTATTGTGCAACAATGGATGGCCATTCCCCATCTCAGAGCAACAATACCAGCGATTCCAGTTAGCAAACTGGAATATGTATACTCATCCATTCTAACGTTACTTGCGTGCATTTTAGTGAAGAAATCCATAGCTTCTACTGCTCTGTCTCTGTTGACATACCCTGTAAGAATGGAGTTCCAAGAAGATGAATTGGGGTTTGGCATGGTCAATAAGATCTCAATAGCATCTTCTATACGACCAAACTGGGCTATACCATTGATAAGTTCATTATATGATACCGTATCAGGTTGAGGCATTTGACTGAATAAACTTTTAGCCAAATCAAGCCTCCGGTTTCTAGCACTTGCTGCTACAACCGAATTCCAAGAAATTATGTCCCTTTCATCCATTTCTTCAAAGGCCCGAATCGCCTCCTCGATTGAACCACATTTTCCATACATATCAATCAAGCAATTCTGTACGAAAACGCCAAATCCTACACCACATTTAAAGACCTTGCTGTGAACTGACCTGCCAAACTGTACCATTCTCAGTTGGCCACAAGCAGATAAAGCTGCTGTAATCGAGTAGGCATCTGTGCAGACATCAGACCTTTCGAGCTGCATAAATAAACCCAAAGCTTTCTTAAACTTCCCGGACTGCACGTACCCTGAAATCAGAGTGTTCCATGAAACCACGCTTGGCTGGGGAATTTCGTCGAACACATTGTGTGCTACACACACCGACTTCGTCTCCTTGTAAAACCGCATCAAAGCCGTGGAGACGAGGACATCGGAGGCGAACCCACATCTGATAACGTAACCGTGGAGCTGATGGCAGTAAGATTCCAGGCCCAGGTCCGTGGAAGTGCGGATCAGATGAATCAGCGCATACCCAGTTCCCTCGACGCCGGAGTTGAGCAACTCCAATACTCGTGGAAATGCCTGATCTAGACTCGATCCAGCGGAGTTCCCGCGGGCAAGCCATGATTCAATGGGTTTAAGGAGAAGCTGGATAGAGAAGTTGCCGGGGAATGTTGAAGTGGAGAACCGAAAGTTGCGTTGCAGGGGAGAAATTTGAAGTGCCTTCAGGAGGAGAATTCGCATCTGTTATTTTTGGTGGGAAATTTGAACTACTAACAAATGCTTCACGAACCTTAAATTAAATAGTTCTAAGCAGCATTTCGAGTCATTTATTGTCATTTACAGATTCACTTTTAAGTTTTAACCATTTAGAAACAAGATACGCCAAAGGTCAAATAGCCTAGCGATGAAATTCTTAGTGAGTGTTCGTTTCGGGAAGTGGCAGATTCCGTATTTGACCCTACTGAGACTGTTATGATGTTCCCGGAAGTATTTAATAGAGATCTTGATCGAGAGCCCAAAAGTCTCAAGCAGGTGAACCCCCATATTTGGTCAAAATGCATTATGAACATGTATCAAAGTAAACATGTATACGAATCGATTATTTTGTAGGATGAATCGAGAGTCCATAATACGAATAAATTGAACCATAATTATATTTTACAAATTTTCTCCCGCAATAAAATTGTTAATAAAAATTATATTATCATGGTTTTTCTAAAAAATTTGAACCCACCTTACAATGAATCCCTCGAAACCATGTAGAACAAATCTAATCCAAAAATTGCAGAAAATAAATTTGGGAAAGAGAGGCTGCGACAATCTAGGGTAAAATTGCTAAACATAGTAATACCAAGCATCTCTTTGTTGCGAATGATGAGGAGCAAGCAACAAAACCATAGGAATGTTAGGTTCACAGACAAAGAAATCCTGAAGAAAAAAGAAAAAGATCAATGGAACTTTTGTGAAATAAAAAGAGAGAAAACAAAAACAAAATTTATCAACAAATATTTCCATGTACCCAGATAAACATAATTTTCCATATACAGAAAATAAAAAATAAAAAAACCTCAAAATTATCTATCCCCTCCTCCAAGCAAGACAGAGGCTGCAGCCTTCTTGTTTTTCTCATACCATAGCTTTTCATGGCATGACAGAAGAACAATTGGAAGGCAATAAAGAAGCAGAAGAAGACAACAACAAAAAAACATTGATTCACCATCATCTCGAATCACGACTACAGTCGTGCGCATAATTATTCATGTGGATTATACAAAAAAAAAAACAGCAAGGTTATGACCGTTTCTCGATGAAAGCTGAAGAAATTAGTTATTTCTGTTGATTCGAGCGTCCTTCGGTCTTTCTGTATCGGGAGGAACAAAGGGGCGAGAGAAAAGTTCTGATTTTTAGGTGTTGTGTTTGATTGATTAAAAGAAAAAAAGGGGGGGATTAATTATCAGGGAGGCAACAAGAATGAGGGTGGCATCAGCTTTGAACATGAAGAAGGAGGTGTTGGAAAATCTGATAATAGGTGGAGGGCTTATTCTGGTGCAATTTGTGTATGCTGGGAATTCAGTTCTGTTGAGCTATTTGATGTCTCTTGGGCTTACCCCTCTCACCATTGTCATCTTCTCCACTTTTGCCACATTCCTCATCACCTCCCCTTTTGCTTTCTACTTTGAAAGGTCAGTATAGATAGGAACTATGTCCATGAAAATGGATGATATCAACTTTCATTTCTGATTTCTTACATTCTGTTGTTGTTCTTATAGGAGGAAATGGCCCAAGAGAATCAGCTTCATGCTTGTTACCCAATTGGTTCTCATTTCATTCGGAGGGTAAGCAAAACAGGAAAAGAAATCGTATAATTTAATCATTTCGCGGTGATCGATTTTCTTACCCTGAAAGAATCTTATTTTTGCCCATGTCACAAAAAAGTTATATTGAGCAACAAAACGATCAAGCGACAAACCTCGATTTGCAATCGACATTACTAACCATCAACCAACCATATTTTCTTAATTCCTTACTAACAGTGAAAAATCAACGGAATCGAAATACTGAAAATATGACGACTTAGGGTTTGATGTCTCCACGGTAATTGTTATTACCACAAACCAACTAACTACAATGGGGTGATGTGATTTTCTGCAGAGTGACCTTGTTCCAATCTTTCTTCCTCAAGGGAATTAACCTCACTTCTCCGGCCTTGGCAACAGCCATGCCAAACCTTTCTCCAGGCTTGATTTTCATCATTGCTTGGATACTAAGGTAGCTTTCAACATCTGTCTTGTCCGAAACCTAATGCAGAATCTAAAATACTGAGTTCAATAAGAATTGAAACTATGCATATTACAGGATGGAAAGGGTTAGAATTGGGTGCATTTATAGCAAGGTGAAGATCATTGGAACATTGTTGTGTGTTGTTGGTGCCTTAACTATGAGTTTCATGCATAGTAGCACAATCAAGGAGCCTGCCTTCATCGCCTCCCCTACTGATGTTTTCATCGACAAGGACAAGTTAGTCGGTTGCTTGTACCTCATGGCTGCAGTTTTTGTGCTCTCCAGCAATGTCGTGCTACAGGTAAAAAAACACTATATCTTCTTTCTATTGTTCTGTTATCGGGATTCCTCGCCTAAATTTTGATTGGCTAGTCGCGAATAAATTTTGATTCAAAATTGAAAATACTGGTGGCAAATGGGTCGGATTAGGTTCTGATAGACCATGTCACACTAGGTTAGATATACAGGATGGTAATTGGTCGGGTCATGATGGTTCGAGGGTCATAACCAAATTGGTATTGTATTGTATCACGAGGCTCGCGAGTAACAATAGGTAACAACTTGAATTGGTTGGTCCGGACC